AGAATTCATGAAACCAAACAAACCACCATGGGGCAGAGAGGCAGGAAGAAGGCAACAGAAGAATTTAAGTTTTTATATTACTTTTTAGTTAAAACTCATCAAAGTTGGAAGAATGACTTTAAAATTTCTCTTATTCGAAAAACATAATTTCAACATCTACCAAAAAATTGGTTGTTTTGTTGTTTATAATGTAAATTTCATTTTTAGTCTGTTCTCTGGGTGAAAAACATTATGCCAAAGTTAGCCCACAAACCATTCAATGGACATAGATTTTAGAACAATGGAATCTAAAGAATAAATTTTGTTGTTTAAATCAAACTCAAAAATCATGAGATATTTACAATGCTAACAGTTTATCTTGGGCAAATTTATGTTTTACTATTTTTTTTTCTGAGATAGGTTATGATGAGAAAATACATGTTCTTGTGAAACACTCACAAAGAAAACCAATGCAACATCTATAAAATGGAAGGGCTCTAAGAGGCACAATTTCCCAGTGAAGAGGAGAGCAAGAAAACACATGGCCCTGTGCCAGTGATAAAATGCCTTTTACTCAAATAGCAGTTTCCCTTTCTTCCCAAACATCAAATTATCACAACAATGCTTAGACTACCACAATAGGCTCCTATGTGACCTTGCCTTACCCTCAGTCAGTCCATTCTTCAGGTTTAACCAGATGACAGCCAGGTCTAAGAACTTTGTTTTGGGTTGAGTTGTATGCCCTCAAATTCATGTAAAGTCCTAATCACCAGTATGTCAGAAAGTGACTGTATTTGGATAGGCTCTTTAAAGTAATCAAGATTAAATGAGGTCATTGGAATGAGCCTTAAGAAGAAAGAGATCTTCTAACCACTGGCTCCCACTTCTCCAAATTTCTTCCTCAGAGTAAGTCAAGCCACAAATAATCACGGAGGGTGAAGACACAGGAAGACAGTGCATCCACAAGCCACGAAAAGGCCTCCATAGGAACCCAACCCACCGCACAAATAGCTTGCTTTCAACTTCCAATTTCCAGAACTGTAAGGAAACACATTTCTGCTGTCTCAGTCACCCACTCTATGGTACTTTGCTAGCTCAGCCCCAGCAAATAAATACAGAATTTGACAGAAGGAAATGAAATGCTGCAGTAGCAAGTAGCTACAAATGTGGAAGTGGCTTTGGAACTGGATGATGGGAGGGAGCCTAAAGATTTTGAGGTGTGTGCTGGAAAAAGCCTGCATGGCTTTGAAGAGACTTGGTGGGCTTGTGGGTAGAAATATGGATGCCTAAGTTGCTTGCCTCCATGGAGGTTTCCAATGGAAATGAGGAACATGTGATGGGAAAGTTGGAATTTCCAAGAGAATAAAACCAAACCTCAGTCTTTACACAGGTACTTCAAAAAGTTCATGGATAAATAAAAGATAATCCAGGGCAACCATTATGCTGCAGTGGGTTAAGCCACCACTTGGGGCACACACATCCCATACTAGAATGCCAGTTTTTGTCCTGGATATTCTGCTTCTGAATCAGCTTCCTGCTAATGTGCACCGTGGGAGGCAACAGGAGATTCCTCAAATACTTGAGTACCTGCCACTGATGGAGACATGGATAGAGTGCCAGGCTCTTGACTTCAGCCTGGCCCACCCCAGCAGTTAAAAACATCTGGGGGAGTGAACCAGCAGATGGAATGATGGAAGCCTTCTCTCTCTCTCCTTCTTCCCCCTCTGTCACTTTGCTTTTCAAATAAATGAATCTTTTTTATATGTTGAAATCCATGCCTAGTTTTCTCATACACATATTTCCATGAACTTTCTGAAGACCCCTTGTATTTCACTGCTCTCTTGTACTCTTTCCCAGCCAAATGTCTCCTCTCAGTACAAACTCATTGTTCTGCTCTATACAGGTATGTATGGATATCCACTCTAGGTCCCCCTGCCCACTTATTTTGCCAGTCTCTTCTACCAGGGGTGGGGAACTTTTTTTTTTTTTTTTTTTTTGCCAAGGGCCATTCAGATATTCATAATGCCATTCACAGGTCATACATAGTCATCATATTAAAAACTGGCCTGCTGTAGATTCATCAAATTGCAGGGGCTGCCCTGCCAGAGATTGCCTTGGTAGGGCCAGACCAGATGATTTCAGGGGGCTTTATTTGGCCTGCAGGCCAGAAGTTCTCCAGCCTATCCTACCATGTCCCTTCTCAATGCAAAACCACAGACCTAAGTGGACTTCATAACAAAATACCTTTCACTCCCCCCCTACTGAAAGACAAAAACCTGTTCTGTTTCTTGCTTAAGAGCCTCACTGAGACCAACAAGCAATCCTATGCTGATCTGCTTTCTTAGAATCCCTGTAACTTTTACTGTGTATTAAAAAATTCTATGCTTTGTATCTATTTTTCCAACTAAGAGAATATACCTCAGGAGCAGTATCTTCTATTTACTCAGTGTTCTCCCCAGTGCCTAACCCAATACATTTACCTCCTGATCCATCTATTACTATCCCTGAAGGAATAACTACCTCCACATGAAGGCAGTGGATAGCTTAGCATTGATACTTTATCTCCTTATCTTTCCTATTCCCTTACATGGAAGTCTACTAAAATTTTTCATCACACTATCAATTTTACCAGATTAAATATAATTTCCCAATTATGTTTACATAAATTCTCTCATGCACAACACTAATTTCCAAGAGAAAATTAATACCTTTCTCGTTTAAATGAAGCTGATAACATAGGGAACAATGCAACAATTTTATCAAATGAAATCCTACTTTAAGCCAAATGCCTATGGTTAAAAGTGCATATACCTGGGAACTTCACCCCTGCACATGCACCAGGAAGCAGTCTGGGAAGTTGTCTACTCCTTCCCTTTAAAGTGTAGGATCTCTCTGGCAGAGGTGTGGTTTGCTCTACTTTATTTGGGGGCATTTCCAGCCCAGTGCATCAACTTTGCCTCAAAACATTTTATGAGAATCATAGAGTACTTCATGCATATTATAAATACACAGAATGGAGCCCACCTACAACTCAACTCAAGAGAGTCAAACCTATGTGTCAGATTTGGGAAGTAATCTGGAGAAAATAATCTGCCTCTAGCTCAGGACAGCTATCTCCCAAGCCAGCTTCTAAATCCCTTAATCCCAGCTCTAAACAATGAGTCCTCTTGGGCCTCATTTGTAAACAGCACTTGCTGACTCTAGCAGCTAAAAACTGACAGTTCCTGACCAGGCCTAAACCAAAGCAAAACTACATTTGTAAGACTTCCATGAATCTCTCTGAGCATCTTCAACTTGTAGAGATACTGTGATCTCTGGGAACAGTTCCTAGTCCCAAATAACTACCTGCATTTAAAAGACATCTGAAATGCAAAGATGTCTTGAAGGGTCAGGCGGGGCCTCGTCCATGTTGCACAAATTTGGAGCACTGTGCAACCTCACTAAACATCTCACCCTTCCCATCAGCCTTCAGTGATCAAAGGAAGGAGTGTGGAACAGGAATACAGAAAACCAGAAACAAGAGAAGGGAGATGAAACGAAGGAATACATGTTAAGAGAGATAGTGCACCTATGACCCACCAGTAACATGTTGGGAGTAATCTTTTTATTTTAGCAAAGGAAGAAGAGCAGGGGAGAATTAAGTGGCCTTCAAAATTAGTGTTACCTAAGTTGGCATGCAAGGGCACTGTGGCATCCAACAAGATGCAGAACTTCCAGGTGTGTTAGGTTTTACATTGCAATCGTTCGCCTATGTTCTAGCAGGGGCTAAGGCATATATTACAGAAATTTAGATAATTCGATCCGTGCAAAAGTTCATAGCATTATAACCCAAGCCGGGTTATCAGAGCACAGCCCTCTGGAATGGAATCAGTGTCCTTAGATGAGGTGCTATTTACTCTATAGAAAGACACCTAAAAGAGCATTGTCTATGGAAGCACTAAGGGGTGTGTACGGCAAGAGCTGCCTGCCAGCACAGAATGACAATTTGGTCACTCTGCAATTTCTTCCCCTCTTGGCAGCCAAAAAACCTGGAGCGGTTTTCCTTCCACGTTGGTGAAGCCTCCCTTATCTGATGACACAGATGAAACCCGAGCCTCCAACCACAGCCCCTAGGCACAAAGCTATGCAGCGCCCCTCGCCATGGTCTCCCCCAGCAGAGCCACTTCAGGAGCTCCACACGCCCGGTCCCGCAGCCCCGAGCCCCCCGCCCGGCGGCAGACTCAACCTCCCACCCTCGCGCCGCCGCTCCTCCACCCCCCGCGGTCCCGGCTTCCATTTCCATGTGATCCCTGGGAGGAAGGGCCGGGCCTGTGTTTCCTCTGCAAAGAATGCAAGCAAAAATGTACTCCATCACCACCCCAGACCCAAGCACAGCCCCACAGGATGAGAAGCATCTCCCAGACGCGGCTCCCCTAGGAACGTCCGGCATCTCGCCGCTGCGAAGTCGTAGACAAAGGCGCCCACCGGCGGGAGACGGGATGAAGGGGGAGGCCAGTGCAAAAATGTCCCAGCCAGAGCGGCAGCTGATGAAAGGCCACGGGCGCCACGGGGTGTGGGGGCGGGTCCCAGCTGCGGGCTGGCCTCGGGGGTGGGGAGAAGTCCCCCGGTGCCAAGGCAAGGGACGCCAGGCTGGGGGCTCTACCCACCCGGCACAGCTCCGCCCTGCGTAACGGGGGAGCCGCAGCAGCGGAGAGCAACAGGCTCCCGCACTCCGGAGGGCCCGGTCCGCGCCCCAGGCGCCCAGGCCTCCAGGAGAAGGAAAACAAAAACTTTGAAACCCTTTGCGACTCCGCGAGAGCCAAAGGAGGGGGTGATTGTCGCGGGGAGAGGAGGCGGCGTGCAAGTAGCAGAGGAAACTTCAGACCCCATCCCTAAAAAAAAAAAAAAAAAAAAAAAAAAGAGCTAGGGGACAGGGGCGCCCCGGCGTCGGGCCCCGCGGGGTGGGGCGAGCGCACCCGGCCCCGCCGCCCGCTGCCGAGCCCCCGGGCGGCCGCGCACCTTCCCGGCGGGGCGCGCGCAGACGCGGGGGCGCGCTGCGGCCTTCCGGCCGGGTCCTCGGCGCCGCTTACCCGGCTCGCGGCGGACGCGAGAGGGGCGGAGGGCTGGGGAAGCCGGGATCACCGAGCACTCGGGCTGGCTCGCCTCGCCCACGCACGCTCTCTTCTCCTCGTAAGTAACGGCCCGGCGAGGAGCTTCGGGATAAACGCGCGCACACACACACCCCCACACACACACTCACACTCACGCGTGACCGAGAAACTTAATCCCGCGCGGCCGGCCGCCGGCGGCCAGACGCCAGCCTCGCGCTCCGCCGCTTCCGCCGCGCCCCCTCCCCCGGCGCGCGCCGCACTTGCGCCGACCGGGGCTGCCGCGGAGGCGGTGGCGGGGCCAGGGCTGCCGGGGCTGCGGTGACGCCGGCGACCGGCGGGGCGGCGGGCGGCCTCAGCCAATCAGGGGGCGCGGCCCAGCCCGCTGGTCCTGGGTTTTAAACTAGCTCCTGGGCGGCCGGAGGATGAGCGCTCTGTGAGGCTGTGGGGCGCCCAGTTAGTGGATAATTAGGATTTTTGTTTTTAATGATTTTTTTTTTTAGTATAAGTATGACCTATGCAATGTTTGGGATATACTTATACTAAAAAAAAGGTACTTGTTCATCTGAAGTTCGATTGTAACTGAGAATCTTGTTTGTGTTTGCTGAATCTGGCAACTTGTGAGAACTAGTAGCCTTTAGGTGTAGTTTTTGACAGCGTTGTTGTTAGATGCACTGCCCTGGAAGTGCCTTCTGCAGGATAGCTGAAGTGGCGCCGCTCTGTAACGAGCACCGGAGGAGTAATCTCACTTTTTTTTTCTTTTCTTTTTTTTTTTCTTTTTTTGACAGGCAGTTAGACAGTGAGAGAGACAGAGAGAAAGGTCTTCCTTCCGTTGGTTCACTCCCCAAGCGCGCTGATCGGAAGCCAGGAACCAGGTGCTTCTCCTGGTCTCCCATGCAGGCGCAGGGCCCAAGCACCTGGGCCATGCTCCACTGCCCTCCTGGGCCACAGCAGAGAGCTGGACTGGAAGAGGAGCAACCAGGACAGAATCCGGCGCCCCAATAAGGACTAGAACCCGGGGTGCTGGCACCACAGGCGGAGGATTAGCCAAGAGTAACTTTAGTGCATCGATGTGTATTCTTAGATTGATGATCCAATAACAGCTCAAAAACGGTGAACACACAGAAGGATTCACAGTCACTGGTGCCAGGAAGAGCAGATAATTCATTTCTATTTTGCGCCTTTTAATATTGTCTTTCAGAAATTCTCAATTTGAGAGCTCTGTAATTTTATGTGTGTGTGCGCGCAAAGGGAAATCGCTTCCTTTTTCATTCCATATGTCTAATGTTAAAGTATACCATCAGAGGATACTCAAAAGTCCAACATAAAATATTTGAAAGAATTTCTTTTAATATTCTCTGTAAGCCATGTAATTTCGTCAGATTATCTTTTGTATGTCTACTAAAAATCAATTTGCATTTCTCTAACATCAAATATTTAAGGGGAAACTAAGTTTGTAAGATATACAAGACTTCAGAGGGAAATGGATTTTTTAAAAGATTTTTTTATTTATTTGAAAGTCAGAGTTACAGAGAGAAGGAGAGGCAGAGAGAGAGAGAGAGAGAGAGAGAGGTCCTTCATCTGCTGGTCCACTCCCCAGATGGCCGCAATGGACGGAGCTGTGCCGATCCGGAGCCAGGAGCTTCCTCCAGGTCTCCCGCGTGGGTGCAGGGGCTCAAGGACTTGGGCCATCTTCTACTGCTTTCCCAGCCCATAGCAGAGAGCTGAATTGAAGTGGAGCAGTCGGGTCTCGAACCGGTGCCCATATGGGATGGCGGCGCTTCAGGCCAGGGCATTAATCCCCTGTGCCACAGTGCCAGCCCGGGAAATGGATTTAAGCACTCAGATAGATATTTTTGGAAAGTATCAAAATGAATAATGTGTCTGCTGATGAGAGTTGAATAAAGCAAGCACAGCAGTAGCCTGGGTGGAGAGAATGCTCCCACCTGTGTGCTCACAGATAGGAATCAGTGTCGTAGGGGCCTGCCAGGGAACTAAGGTACTCACTGTGTTCCCTCAGCATCTATAGGTACCCATCACCTCTGCCTCCCTGAGAAATGAACAGTTGGGTTCCCAGGGAGGGAAAGCTTGTCTGTTCCCTCGTGTACAGCATATCTTTGTCTTCTTGTAACCTTTTTATGAGCACACTCAGATCTCTCCCTCTAAGGAAAGGAAGGAAAAGAAGGAAAGGGGTGGGCGGGAGGGAGGGAAAGAAGCCTCCTCCACAGCCCATCTCTCTCCAGCCACCAGCCTTCTCCCCTTTCCCTTCACAGATAACTTTTTTTAATGTGTCAGCTGACTAGATCCTGGTTTCTCTAGGGAGGCCTTCTACCCCCTCAGCCCAACTGACACATTCTCTCACTTCGTTTCCTTCGTCTCAGGTGCATTTGGAGCTTCTGCAGTCTTGGCTTAGAGACCTCCCTAACCCATCATGACGGTAATCCCGAGCAGTCGCACTGTCTTGGTTTTTCTCCTTTTTCATAAGAGGGGCAGATATGTGGACCCTGAAGCTTATGTAATTTTCTTTCTTTTAAAAACTGTAAAATGCATGACCATCTAAAATATTGCTAGAGCTCCTATCAGCAAAAGAAATACCCAGAATATTATGCTTCATTGGTTTCCAAGTTGATCTGCATCTATCAAAAGGCTTCTCCTCAATCTTTTCTGTCAAATGAACTTGTCTCCCTAACCATTAAATGCTGGAATTCCCAAGACTCCATTTTGGGTCCTCTTTCCTTAAAAAACAAAAAACAAAAAACAACTATCTGTATGTTTAAGTCCATTTCCTCATCTAGCTTATCATCTAATGGCCAAGGATTATTAAATTTGTATCTTCAGTTCAGAATTCATATATCCAAATGTCTGTTTGACTATGTTGTTTGTTTTTCTGAAGCCTAGAATACTCAGAATGAAACTGGGATATTTCTGCTGACTTCTCCTCATGTTCCACAGTTTAAATGTTTCTGTGAGTGTTACTGACATGGATTTTACTCCATGACTCCTACAAATTAAGATAAACCTATTGTGATACATTGTCACTGTTCCTTGTATTTTTGTTTCTCAGTATTTATTTGACTTTGTAACTACATATTTAGTTTTGTAACTACCTGTGCAATGTCTGTCTTCTCTCTTAAACCATATGCTCCCTGAGAATGGAAACCATATCACTCTGATCCTCAGAGCCCAACAAAATATTTCACACCTGATTGGTACTCGAGTGACATAGGATGAGTATATGAATTCAAGAATAAACAGTTTACTCATACAGCTTTTGAGTCATCTAGTTTGGAAAAGATTTTCTTATTGCTTATAAATTCCCAAGGCCTCCTCTTCTTTAAATAGCAAAGAACTTCGATTTGTCAGTTTTTGAGTCTGGTCATTTTCCAAAGAAAATGAAATAAGTTCATGATAGGTTAGCTGCTAGGAGAAATGGAGGAGGAGAAAAATTCCATAATTAGTTACTGAAGGTAATCTTTTAGTCCTAGAAGCTAAAGTGAGATTTGTTATAATTGAACCAAAAGTAAAGAGCTCATAGAATGAATTGGAGAATCAAGATTAAGGAATTCAATTCCCTAGTTTATTGTAAGTGTAAGAGATTAAAACAAAGCATTCTATCATGGCTTAAAGGGTGCTATTGTTCTGGAGTTAGGTCCCAGAGCAAATCCTCCATGACCTCTTTAAGTAGTACTATATCAGAGGACAAAAAGGCAGGTTTCACAGTTTAGCTCTTCCATAAAACTATGCTGTCCTTGGGAATGATTCCATTCAAGAGTGTCTCCTTGGACATTAACTCATGTAGTAATTGCTTTATTCTCTTCTACTTGTTCTAATTCTGACACCCCAAGATCTTCTAGATGTAACAAACAGCAAGTTGTACTGCACTGGCCAAAGGAGAAAGATGTTGAATTAAATCTTACAGATAAAGCCACAGCATAAAGCAGATAGAATGGAAGTGCTTTTCTCCATGGGGTGCATTGAAGCTCATTCTATATATAGAGATTAGTAATTCACTTTCATGTTGATCACAGTCTGCAATCTGAAAAGGAAGTCATTAGGGATATTATCTATACTCCAGTTTGATCTTTAGTGAAGTATTCTCCACAGCAATTTGTTTTTCTGAATTTGAGTAATGTCAGAAGATTTTATAAGAGAAAATATCTTGGGGACTTCTAGGATGGAGTTAAATTATTTTCATTGTAATTTAGCAAATACAACATTAAGTACACCAGGAATCTTCAAAAAGTTCACAGACAAGGCCAGCACTATGGCATAACAAGTGAAGCCTCCACCTACAGCACTGACATCTCAAATGGGAACTGGTTCGAGACCAAGCAGGTCCTCTTCCTATCCAGCTCCTTGTTAATTTTCCTGAAAAAACAGCAGAAGGCGGCCCAAGTCCTTGGGCTCCTACACCCATGTGGGAAACCCAGAAGAAGCTCCTAGTCCTCAGCTTTGGGGAATGAACCAGCAGTTGGAAGATCTCTCTCTCTCTCTCTCTCTCTCTCTCTCTCTTTCTCTTTCAGCACCCTTGCTCTTCCTCCTCTCTCTGTACGTCTGCCTTTTCAATAAATAAAAAAAAAAAATCAATGTAAAAAATTCACAATGTGTATTATAAAAAAGTCTATGTGTGGATTTTGAAAAAAAAAATTTGGCATCAATATAAACATCTTTTAGTTCCATTGTCTGAATATTTTGAAGTAGCAATGTATGGTATTATTTTACATATGGCTCTTCTGTAACTCAAAATGGTGAAAGGTCTAGGTTATCCACTCAGAAACTTTCATGTCTGCTGAAAGATCCTGGATTTTTTTTTTTTTTTAAGATTTATCTATTCACTTGAAAGGCAGAGTTGTGGGGCTGGGGGGTGAGGGAGGCAGACAGAGTTACAGAGAGAGAGAGAGAGAGAGAGAGAGAGAGATAGCTTCCATCTGCTGGTTCCCTCCCCAAATAGCCACAATGGTGGGATAAGGGATGGTCTGAAGCCAGGAGCTTCTTCCAGGTCTCCTACATGGATGCACAGGTCCAAGAACTTGGGCCATCTTCCACTGCTTTCCCAGGCACATTAACAAGAAGTTGGATCAGAAGTAGAGCAGCTGGGACATAACTATTGCCCATATGGGATGCTGGCGCTACTGGTGGTAGCTTTACCCACTATACCACAGCGCTGGACCAAAAAATTGAATTTTGGTACATGAAAATACAGAGGCCCCTTTTAGTTGCCCCCATCACACAGCACAGAGTCTTCATTATGCTCTCCTAACATGGGTAGCCTAAGTGTATATGAGAACCCTCACTGGTTGGTGTTGCTGCAAGAGTCCAGAGCAGTGCTCTGTGTGAACATAATCCTTTCCCAAGTACCAAGTAGTCAGGGGAATTCTAGAATTGTGGGACCCTGGACTACTTCTATCACCTTTAACCAATTATTCCTCTTTTTAATAATGTTCAATTTAGAGCAGACTAGATGATATACTTGGGTTGCCATCTGCTTGAGAGCTATCTAATTTATAACAAATGTGTTATGGGTTACAAAAGATGTGTATTCTGTCTACTGGCTGATTAGCTCTATAATTTCAATTGCCTCCTGTTTTCTCAATGACAAGAAACAGGTGTAGATATCCTTTTCCAGTTTGATCAATGTTGTATTTTTTTTCAAAGACTATTTAAAATAATTTTTAACATTTTTCTCCATAGAAAGCAGAAAAAATTTTAAAAAAATAATGAAGATGGGAGAAAAGAGGATAATAGATATATGTGTCTTTGAGAGAGCCATTCAGAGGAGAGAATGGCTGAGAGAATCCCAGGCATGAGAAAAATGCAAGATTACTTCTCCTCTGAAGACATGAAGAGTAATCTGTCTCTCTTCATGTAACAAACTGTTTATAGAGGGATAGAGGCTCTGAACCTGACAGTGTGCCTGATTGGGTCTCATCTCTCTAGGGATGACAGAAAGGGCATTTGGAGGTCATGGTCTTCTGACCTTGAAGACCTTGGCTTTCAGACCCACAAATTCTGTTGCAGTAAGAAAATTCTAGGAAAGGCAGCATTTGGATTAGGTTAATTTTGGGGAGAAATGCATATCTAAATGCTGTTCCAGAATCTTTGTCTTGGGTTTATGCAAGCTACTATCACACTTTGGAATATTTCTCCTACAAGATATTTTTTCTCCATCTTGCATACTCAGAGAGCCTATGCTGGCCAAAAATAAATAAATAGATAAATAAATTTTTTAAATCGAGAAGCAGTAAGTACAAGGAAAATAAATTTTTTCAAGTTGCACAGTATCATTTAGGAAGTACTCCTCCCTTGATGTGGCAAAAAAAATAAAATAAAATAAAGTAAGTGATAAGGAGATAATTTTTCTAGAATGCTAGTGAGTCATTTGGATCATACCTTACCTGAAACAAACTCCATCTCTTTTCATTATATTTGTATGAACCAATACATATCCTTTAGTGGTTTTTTTGTTGTTGTTGTTTTGTTTTAAAGATTTTATTTATTTAGTTGAGAGGTAAAGTTACAGAGAGAGGGAGAGACACAGAGAGAGGTCTTCCTTCCGCTGCTTCAGTCCCCAAATGGCTACAATGTCCAGAACTGAGCCAATCCAAAGCCAGGAGCCAGGAGCTTCTTCTCGGTCTCCCAAGTGGGTGCAGGGCCCAAGCACTTGGGCCATCTTCTACTGTTTTCCCAGGCCATTGCTGAGAGCTGGATCAGAAGAGGAGCAAACGGAACTTGAACTGGCGCCCATATGGGATGCCAGCACCACAGGTGGAGGCTTGCTTAGCCCATTAAGCCACAGAGCTTAAACTACTTTGAATTGGATTTTCTGTGATTTGCAACTAACAGCACCCAAAGAGATGAAATACACATATTAACCCATTCCTGACGAGCTGGACAGGTACACTGATGTTTCAGGGAACATCCTGAGATTAGCACAGTTAGTGACAGCTTATTGAAGGATAGCTAGAAATATGGGGAAAACAAGAATTTCCATCTGTGAGCAGCCAAATTGTGCTAAAAAATGTGGCATCTTTTTGTTCATACCACAAGCACAAAGAGAAAAATGAAAAGGACAGTTCAGGTGATGTGGCTCTGGAGACCAGGTTTTCTTAACAGTCTTCCCAATTCTACTTCAGTGGACTCCTGTCCTTAGGTATCTTTCTTTCCTTTTGCCACTAACAATGTTTATTTATATTGGTTCCTTGCAAGTTAGTGGCCCTTGATGGTCTGTTCACACTTATCAATGAGACAGTGAACATCCACTTGAGGTTGAGGGCTCTGTGCACATGCAAGTCTTGTTGACTCATGTGATTCATTTTGAGAGAGCAACAGTTCTTTCAGGAGCCTCTAAATTCCAGAATGAGAAAGTCTACTCCAGAGCCATTTGATATCTTTAGAGAGGACATTTCTGAATGTCAACGTGAGAAACAGATGCCTAGT